ATTATGTTAATGGGAGGCAGGTGTAACAGTACATTTCTTTCCCTGGTTTGGAAATCACATTCTGAAGAGAATTTAACTAAACAGAAATTAGAAAGGAGCTTCAGCATTGTACCTAAACCTAAACTAGAAGATAAATATTTAAAAGTTATTTTTTAATTGAAGTATTTTATTGAAATATCTATGTCACGTACTTTTCGTTGTGTGATCAATATTGTAAAATTTATTTGGAATTTTAAAGAGAAAACATCATTTACGTGATGAAATGAGAAATTTATTCAGTGCTGATTCTTTTTCTGAAAAAAAAAAACAAACCAAAACAGCTTTCTATCCTTCCTTTCAGGTGAAAAAGGGAATTTGTAAAATTATATTTATTTTTTGAAAATTACATATAAATTAAACTTTTATAACATGATATTAAAAATACTTTGTAAAGAGAAAAGCACTATTTTAAATTCAGTTATACTTTCAATGGCTTATGAAATAGATCATCAAAGCTGTTTTGATTTAAAAAAAATTTCACGTGAAATGTAATAAATTTCATGTGAAAAAGAACTTCCCTACCTATCTTTGGAATAATAAAAATAGGATGACTTTCAGGAGATTGGCAATATACGTTGTTGCAAAAGCTGCAAAACCAGACCACATCATGGAATAAAACTTCAGGCTCACAGGAAAGTAACTGTCACAGAGTATTTTTCTGAATGCAGTTTTTTTTATTACTTTTTGTTGAGAAAGAGCATGATTAGTGACAGAGGGAGAAAATGCGGTGAAAATCCATACCATAAAATAACATGATAACTACCTTCTATTTCTGAAAAACATTTTCTTGAATTTGTTCTGAAAAAATACATGAACTGTAGAAATTGCTCAAACATAGCTTTCAAGGACTGTTAAAAAAAAAAAGTACATGTGAAAGAGGAAAAAGTGAGAAACAGAAGATATAAAAATTGGGATTTCAAACTAGATCTGCCTGTCATCTTAAAAATATCATTGAAACTTCATTATGTGATGGTCACTTTTTGAAAATAAATCTAAACATAAATTATCATTTAATGAAACACTAGGTTATGTGACAGTTTATCTTGAGTATTAAAATAATTTATTAAAAATAACTTATGTAGTTACAATAAGGCATCAATTTGGTCTTTGGTATTTGGATATTTTTTTAGTTCAAAAATATTTTATACCTTAAACAATGATTATAGAAAGTATACATATTTATCCAGTTAAGAATAAATTTATGTGAATAAATATTGCTCTTAAAAAGCATCACTCTTCTCATTTATGTTTATTAGGATAAACAAAATTATATGATTTCAATAATCAAAACTGAAATGTATATTATTTATGACTTTTCTTAAAAATCCTTTTCAATGTATAGTCTTAAAATAGTCAATTATTTGTTTGAAAGAATTAAAATTGTCAAATATTTCCTATGTAGGTACACATAACTCTAGAACCTTCCTTTAATATATCTTTAGTGGATGTTAGATATTAATAAAAGACAGAGTCACTTTCCTGTTTGTGAGTAAAATAAACTCAATGCCATTGACTAAAGAATAAGTTTCAATCAATCTAAACTCTAAATTCAACTTCCCTGGACATCTTACTTTATCATTATTTCCCAGCATGAATCCTGTAGTGTGTATAGAATAACCTACCTTTGGACATTTGCTTAAACTGCGTCCTCTGCTTCTACTTCCTTCTGCAGTCTCCTTTGCCACGTGAATCATTCTTTTATCCTATAGAACACCTCAAGTGTAGCACATTATACACACAGTTTTGATGTGCTCCTGAATAGCATCGTGTCTGAGCCTCTTTTGGAACACCTGCCACTTTCTGCTTTATACTGCTTTGTCTATAGCTTCTTATATGCTTTTATTAACTCTCAAATGAGGTTGTAATTTTATTGATAATGACAAATATCACCAGGGAAATGTTTTAATATACTTTTCTGTGCCCTTGCGTGTATGTGTGGAACACCTTACTCAATTATTAAATATTAGAATGTATAGATTTCTGTTTAAAACTATGGCATTTGAATAGCACTTTGAAAATGCCAGTAGATGATTTAGGGTAAACATTTGATGCTTTTTTGACATAAGAAAAATTGCCTGAATAAAATTATTAGGGCGACATTAACAATTATGGTCCATTTTCTTATTTCCAAAGTTAGTATTGCTGGGCAAAACCAGCTGATGAACGCACTGTAATCTATAAATAGCTTATGCCTTCTTCACAGGATATAATTTCAAGCACCCTTGAATGCTCATTTTCTCCATTCACTTTCACCTGGGAGTTTAAAAAAGAATCATTACTAAAATAGGTTTGATGCCTCTGTAGTGCTGAAGGACAAAAATCCTTCATTTCCATAAACTCAGCAAAGTAGATAAATGCAACCATTCCTTACCAGACTACGAGTTTTCTTCTTTCTTTTATTATTCAATGCTTCAAAGAAAAATACATTCTGTTTTTCTCTGATCTTTTCCTTTATTAAAAAAATAAAAAACTGCCTTACTATATTTTTCACTGGTACAAGTCAGTGTAGGAACATGTCTTAAAAAGATTAGGAACATGTTAAAAAGTGTTTCATTTAGTATTGCTATTTTAAAATTATGTATTTGGAAACTTTGAAAAAATGACTGGGTTCTGTGTGTGCTAGTCTTATCTCCAAATGGTTGTGAGTTACTTTTGGCTGCAGGGTTTATTATATTTCTAATCCTATAATGAAAAAAAAAAAAGATTTAACTTCTGCAGATTAAGAGAAAATAAAAGTTAAATTGGGTTTTTTTTTCCTTCAGATAATATTTAATTTGCCTTTAATCCTAAAAGAATTTTAATTTGAGTCTTGTCTCCAAAGAACTATTCTGAGATTTGTCCTATTCTTGAAATTGAAAGCCAGGTAAATAAATAGAATAACATACCTAGAAGCTAAGCACAATTTGAGCTTGAAACATGGAACTCTTACCTCTTGCCAGAATAATCAGATCTAGATTTCCAGTTTGTTGAATAACATACCAAAAACTGTCCACATTAATTGGTAGAGACCCCAAAAGTACTGGATTCAAGCATGTTCCATTACCCTGCTCAGTTAATTGGCCCTTCTTGATAACTCTGAAATGAGTCTGCATGATTTTTTGTATTCAAAAGTATATATTCAGGTAAACCTAAAAGAAGACACCAAATAATCCTTATGGGTACATCTCTGTGAAAATAAACAAAACAATGACTAATTGTGTACTAAGTTTTCTTCATTACTGAGAATAGTAGATTCAATACATATCCCTGCTGCTACCCATATTTCAAACTAAATTGTAATAGACTAAATATCTAAGTCAAAGAACTTGTTTGTATTTAATGGTCTCAGTTTTTTCCATTAGGTCATTGTTTCTAAAATTTTGATTTGTTATTGTTTGATAATTTGTCTTTTTTGTGTGTGTAAATTCGTCTATGAATGAGCTCCAATCAACTGACATCCCTGAAGGTTAGAAGGAGTTTGAGTGCAAAATAAAGGCCAATGGATGTTCATTAACTTCTAGCTGAGTCTTCCATATGCTGAGTATTATAATTTTATATGCATCACATATTTAGATCACGCCAATATCCAAATCTTGTTTTGAATATTCTCTTACTCTCCAAATATTCATGAAGATATGTGTAAGAGTGTGTATACCTGTGTGGTTGAATGAGTGCAGTTCCTCTCAGGATATTTTCCTTCTTTTACTATGTTACAGAAAAATCACAACTTCACTCTGTATAGATCTTTATCTTAATGATGATTTCCTCTTCAATTTTCTCCTCAAACCTGTATTTGTACATATTTGTCATAGGAATAATTTTTGATGATATATCTTTTAGTGATTTCTGTAAAACCTATTAATTTTTCAATGTTTGCACAAAGAATATTTGCAATTAATTAATAAATTCTGCTAAGAATCAACTTGGATAAAAATGTTATCATACTATTACTTAATAAAGTTTCCTTTAATTTAACAGCCACCATTTTGTATAAGACCTGTCCATAGACAATTATCTTATTAGAAAAAGTGAATTGATTTTAAAGCCGTATTTGCTTTATGTCTATAAGTCGCAAGTAAGGCTTACTAACTTTGATGACATATCAGTGACATGTGATTACATAACTGATTTTTTGTGGCCAGTGAAAGCTCAGAGTTGATGTACAAATTCTTGGTTCACTAAACTCTATGAAAACTTTCTTTTAACATTGGTAAAACTGGAGATTTTAAAATAAGATATTAAATGTTAAATGACATCAATTTGTAGGGCATTTATGTCATTACTGTCTTTTTGATTCAAAGAGGCAAAATAAAAAATAATGAGACCCAATCCATATTTATAATAATGATATAATTGCCTAGTTTCAGAATCATATAAAAATAGTATTTGGAATGCTTTCGTTAACAAAACTTTTCAAAAAATCTACAAGGAAACATATTTCCAGACTATGGAAGCTCCATTTTGCCTTCACATTTAGATTTAATATCAGGAGCTTAGAAGCAATCCATTATAATTTTATTGTGTAATTAAAATGATTGATCTGAAGTGTTTTGTTTTACAAAATCAGAGAAATATTTCAATATTCAGAACCATGCATAGGATCCTGATGATACATGGTTAAATGTATACACACATTTTCATCTTTCAAATTCCTCATCTATAAAGTTACCAGGTGAATATTTAAAAAAATGCTATGGATAGTTATTTCAAAATGAAATCCAAAAGCCTAATGGACTTGCAGAACCTGATATTCCTGGTCTTCTTTGCATAGGAAAGTCAAAGGATGAGCATCCACAAAAGTTGTTGAACGTTTTCCCTCTTTGCAGGGTGAATGTAGCCCAGAGTTAGCTTAATTAGATTAAGTGTATCCAGAGGTTATTCCCCAAACCCCTGAGTATCTCTTTTGATTTAGCTTCACACCAAAACACACACCATTATGACATAAAAAATGATAAAAGCAGCATCTGGAAAGCTAAAATGTTGTAAAAAGCTTAAATTACATTTTATTCCTCAGGCTTAAAACACAAATTGAGAATTATTCAAATTAAACTTACTTACTTCCCATACCTCAGAATTGTAATATGATAGCACAGGGCAGTTGCAAACAGAGGCAAAACTCAAAATTTTTCACATGGGTAGAATCAGACAGAAAAATGTCATATAACTTTTGGGGACACTAGGTTATCATAAATATAAAGAGCAATGGAAAAACTTCCCCTTCAAATCATTCTTAATATCATGTTTAAAAAATCCAATTTACCTGAAATACATAGATGTGGTTATCTTTGGAGAATAGGACCATTATGCTATGAAATATTACTTCAAGGTCAAGAGCAACAATAACAAAATATTATCTAAAACAATTTGGAAAAGAAAAGCCCCAAGAAATACTAAGAAAATTAGCTTATTTATGAAAATATTAAAATAATTAGACTTATATACTATATATTTAAACAGTTGCTTCACTCTTGAAGGTTTCATGAACTTCTCCAATGATAATATTTTATGCAAAATGTATGTAAATATATATTTATAAGCTAATGGAACTAGAAAATTAGATAAGAGTCTGCAAGCCTTTACATAAGAGAATACTTTGCAATTGGCAAAGCATTGTTACAGATGTTCATTTAATCCTCACAACAACCCTGTGAGGTAGGCAGGGAAGTCATTACCATGTCTGTTTTGCAGATTTGGGCCCTGAAGCTCAGAGACTTGTGGGGACATATCAAAGGAGAGTAAGTGTGACTCTCCTCTTTCTTTTGTATTTTTCTCCTAGCCCTATACATTCTCCTGTAAGATACTAAGCATGTAAGAACTAATCAGACCATGAGATAAAGTGTGAACGTCTATGAGGAACACAAGTAAAACAATCCTGAATCTATGAAGTTTATGTGAATTGGAGGATAGTCTTTTCAGACTACATTGTTATTGTGTCATATTTTTGATGACTGCTTATGAGGAAAATAAGAGCATTATGCTGAACCAAACCACAAACCAAGTGACAAAATTTTTGACAGTTAATTTTAGGTGCAGGAATGATAAAAATCCCCAATTTACATGTACTAAAACAAATGGAAAAAAGAATAAAGTTCCCCGACATTTGCTACAGAATAGGTGTGTGGCTATTTTTTAAATTAAATCATTTCCTGACATGTCAGATTTTCGGAATATACTTTAAACCATTCTTTCACCCCATTTACAAAAGGGTATCTCCTGCTTAAAATAAAGGGGCGGGGGCAGACGGGGTTGAGACAGTCGTCTCGTGCTCAGTACAGTGCACAATGGGTGCACCGAAGTTGCATACATTATAGTGCAGGCAGCAAATCCCCATGCTCCATCAGTTTTGTGTGGAGAAAAAAAGTGGGGAGGGCAAAGGGAAATGGTACATACAAGTCCATGACAGAGTGGCCTGGTACATTGGAACTACCTTATGCAATTTAAACACAAGACAAGGCTAATGGGATCTGTCGCAATAACAGAGTGTGGTCTCAAGGGTCCACCCAGAAAAGTGGAAAAAAGAGGTCATGATTACCTTCACAGGTTTCGTTTCTCAGTGTGCCACCCCTATAAATCATAGTCACCAGTGATCTTGGGCCTTTTTGTTCAGTTTTGCTTTTGAAAAATAAATCACAAAATATTAAAACAAATATCATCGTTTGGCTTAATTCAGATATTCTTAATTAAACAGTACCACAGACTTTATTGAGCAATTGAAAATATACACAAGGAACAATAGCTTTTTCTCTGTATTTTTGTTAGTTTGTTCAGATTTGACTTTCTTCCAATGAAATAACCCAGTTTCGATGATGAAAAGGGCACTTGTTTCTAAAGGAGCTGTGTACAGCTTGCCCAGTTCCAAGTACTGTTTTCACACTTCTTCCTTGTCATTGCTGAGGTTATATCTCCACTTGCTCAGGAAGCAAATTCTACAAGGTTGCAAGAATTGACCCCCTAAGTTGTTCTTTCAGATTCTATTTCTCCATAGAGTTCAGCTAACTTTTTAAACTCTGGTCCCCAGTCTCCAAGATAGTGATAATCCTGATCTGATTGTGTCGTTGCTGAATCCAGCGAGCTGATGGACCCAGCCTCTGACCTCTGACCCTCATAGGCGTAAGTCTGAAGAGAGTCATAAGGGGGGACGCTGGGGTCCAGGTCTGCTTCTGCTAGTCTTTGCCTAATAAATTCCTGAACATCTACACTTTCCAGGGTGGACAGTGTCTGGTGTCTGGGAGTGAGCTTCACTTCAGGTCTGATATCTCTCCGGTACTTGAGCTCCTCGGCAGCAGATGGGTTCCTCAAGGCTGTGATGTCAAAGGCCTCAGTGTCTTCCTCTCCCCCTCCCTCATCATCGTAGGTGACCACGTTCTCCCGCACGTCCTCCTCTGAAATGATCAAGGGCTCTTTCTTGCTGCGCCTCAGGGTGATAAAAAGTACCACAATTGCTGAAGAAAAATAAAAACAGGATGAAGGGTTAGGAAGAAGGAAGGAAATTCTTGGAGAAATGGCATCAGCAATTTGCAATCTGTCATTAACGACATCCCAGAGTTGGGCCTGTGTAGCACCCAAGTAACACGGCGAGGTATTTTAATGCCTTGGAGAGTGTAAAAGAAAAGAGCACGCCTTTGAAACACCATGAATCACTGGTCTTCTGTAGGCAGCCACAATATTCTCATTTGCCGGGATTAGAAATTCAGTTTGTTTGACTCATTTTACAAGATAACCATTCAGTACTTAAAGTGAAGGAAACAGATGGCAGAAAAGTAATATGAAATCTTAGCTGGAGAAAAAAAAAAAAAAAAAAAAAAAAAAAAAAAAAAAAAAACGCCAGGCGTGGTAGTGCACACCTGTAATCCTAGCACTGGGAGGCTGAAGTGGCAGGAGTGCTTGAGGCCAGGAGTATTGAGACCTGAACAAGAGCAAGACCTCCTCTCTAGTAAAAAAAATAATATATATATATATATATATATATATATATATATATATATATATATAGCCCTGTTATGGGTGTGTCTGTAGTCCCAGTTATTCAGGAGGCTGAGGCAGGAGGATTGCTTGAGCCCAGGAGTTTGAGGTTGCTGTGAGCTAGGCTGATGCCATGGCACTATAGCTAGGGCAACGAAAGGCAGGACATTTTAAGTTTTTGTAAAATTGGAAGAAGTTTTAACTTTAAACTCTTTAAATTTTATGCTTTGCAGAAAATCAAAATAGGACTATTTTAATGGTTGATCTCTTTTGTCAATTATTTTTTAGATTTGTATTATCATGCATTAATAAATGCATTTACCAATTAAGCTACAAAGGAATGTTATTTTATTCATATGCAACTTATATTACCTAGGAGATTTTCCACTTACAAATATCCTTCACATAACTTATTTATTTAATCCTGACAGCAGAACTGTGGCTTTACTCTATTTTTAAAGTGAGACTGAGACTCACGAGAATACCTGAATAACTAGGATCAAAGGATTAGATCCCACAGTGGCGGGGAGAGGTGCTTGGTCAGTAATCCATGACTTCTCACATTAAAGGTAATGATGCTTCTACTATAATATTCCACTTCCTTTTTTGGAAAAAAATGGAATAATTAACTGAGTGACCAGTTGAACCTGTGGCTTAGGGTAGCTATCACTAAATACGGTGGATTAGTCATTATTAGTAATAATGTTGCAATCACTTGATAATGCGATAGAAATGGGTCTTGGCATCTTTGGCCATTTTCCAATACTTTCAAATCTTTCTATTTGATAATATTAAGCCATTATTATATAGAAATACTTTCTTCACATCTTTGTTGTTACAAACTCTACTATTAGGTCCATTATATTTGGCTCTATAAATTGTTGTCTTTGTGCTCAGCTAATATTCTAGCTTTTATGATAGTGGTTATAAGGTTCATTCATATTTTAAACATTCTTTTATATCATAATAATCAGAGAAGTACATTCAATTGACATCTAGGATTGTTAGATTTAGCAGATAAAAATTAAAAGCAGCACACACATGTGAATGTGTGAATTTGAGATAAATGACGACAGAACATACACACACACACACACACACACACATAAATGCTCCTCAACTTACAATAGGGGCTACATCCCTATAAATCCATCATAACTTAAAAATACTTAAGTCAAAAATGCATTTAGTGCATTGCTCCAGTGTTGGATACACTGAAAGTCTTGACTTCACCACAGTGCAATATAGCAAAGTAGCAAAATAGCACTTGTACTACATAATTATATATATATATATATAATTATCAAAAAAAGAAAATACATGTAAGATACCTAACCTATTGAACCTTAAAGAAGTTCAGAACACTTACATTAGTCTATAGTTGAAAGAAATTATCTAACACAAATCTTATTTTGTACTAAAGTTACAAAGACTTTCAAATCAAAATTCAAAGTACTGTTTCTACTGAATGCATATCCCTTTCACATCACCACAAAGTCAAAAATTATAAATCAATCCATGGTATCTCAGATACTTGGAACACACACACAGAAATATTGTGTTAAGCAAATATATATATATATATATATATATATCCCAATTACTATTATTCCATATGGCACATTTATACTATATATACACACATAGACCTACACATATATATTTTTATCTGAAATTCACATTTACTGGGTATTCTGCCTTATATCTGGCAACCCTAATTATATGTGAATTTCAACAAATGGTTATTAAGCAAAATACACTAGGTTAGCTATTCTCTGATAAAGAATAAACATACATTATCCCCTAGAAATTGCCCTTTTATGGTTTACCTCCACAAAGTAACCTCTATCTTTACTTTTATCATTATTGTCTCCTTGCTTCTCTTTTTAGTTTAATCCCCTTTTCTGTATACCCCTACACAATATGGATGAGTTTTTTTTTATGTTTTAAAACTAGAGAAAGTATGGAGAGGAAGCAAAATATGTTTTAAAGCCAGAGGTAGAAAAGATAATGATGGGAGAGAAGGATGGCCACAGTGTACTAGGAGGAATCTGATTTTTCAGAGAAAAGGCAAATGGGAGCCTATGGGAATGAAGTTAAAATGAAAAAATACAAAGACAGGGTCAGAGAATCATCGAGAAAAGTATAGAACAAAAAAATATTGGGAAGGTAATGAGAAAATGCAATGGGGAGGACTACAGCAGATATGGGAAGTGTTGAATCACTGCATATAGAATGGAATGGTTACTGAAAGTGGAAAATGAAAATGAAATGCTAATGCTACATGTGCCCTGATCTACAAACACAATGTGCAGAAAAAAATAGTTTTCAATATATGTTGCCTGTATTTCAAAGATATTACTTAATATAGAACTATATTTTGGGGGAAAAAGACTTTTGCTAAGTGCAATAAATATGTTTTTAATAGCTGTGTGTTTTAGCATACATCTACCTTACAGCTTTCTAATTCCAATCCCCAAACAATATCCTCAAGTAATTCATTTTATTTTATTCAGAGGTTTAGATTTATCATGTACTATATATCTCTGTTCATCTTTATAATTAAATGAGGAGGCTGTTTTAGATTGAAAGGTCTATTTCTATAGACTACCTAGTTTATTATAGGAAAATTTCTTACCTTTCGCAATAAATCAAGTTATTTTCTTTTATGTTGAAATGGTTGGTGGTTGATGTCAAGGGAATTTATGTGCAAGCACAACAGGGAAAATGTAATCAATACTGCTATGGAAGTATGGAGGTAATTTGCACCCTTCAATATTTGTGCAATTTTTCAATATTTGTATATGTACCATATTTGCCTAATGAAATACAAAGGGCAATGATTTATTTTCTTTAGCTTGGCTTTTAGTTGCTTATTCTCCAAAAGGTTAAGAAAATATTTTTGATATATTTTAAATCAAAATGTAAACATTAGTTAAGTTTGAACCTTAAAGATTTACATCAATCTTTTTTTCAGGCAAAGATAGTTTTGGGCTAGTAATCAGTGATTCCCAGATTTCTTACACACCTATTTACCATAAGTGTCAAAATACAAATAATCATAATCTAGACAGTCTTAACAGTGAAGGGAGATTTTGTTTATAATTATATCAGGGCATCAGAAAAAGCATGGACATAGAGTCCCTCTAGTTAAAGGGAAATTGAAGATTCATATCAACTCAGAGAAGAATGTTGAAACACAGATGATTCAATGTATTTCTTGTGAAGTGTTTTTCATTATCATTTGTTCAGTGAGTATTTCTGGAGAAAATGGGACAAAGTAGATATTCCATAAACAATTCTTATGTGGATGGACCAAAAAATGATCTCTACAAAAGTGGTGTTGTGGCATTGTTTTAACTGAATCTTCTTGAATAGTAATACACTCACTAGAAAAATAATTTTTAAATATTTCTTAAATCAGTTTATAGGTACTAATAATAACAAATTTCTAATTGTATTTGAGAATATATTTGAATGTTTAAAAACCAAATGGAAAAACAAAGACCACATGATCCTCTCAATAGACGCAGAGAAAGCATTCGACAAAATTTAGCACCCTTTTATGATAAGAATGTTTAACAAAATAGGCATAAACGGGACTTACCTAAAACTAATAGAAGCCATATATGAAAGACACATAGCAAACATCATACTGAATGGAGAAAAACTGAAGGCATTTCTGCTTAGAACTGGAACCAGACAAGATTGCCTGCCCTCTATCAGTGCTTCTATTCAACGTGGTGCTAGAAGTCCTAGCCAGAGCAATTAAACAAGAGAAACAAATCAAGGGCATCCAAATGAGGGCTGAAGAGGTCAAAATATTACTCTTTGCTGATGATATGATCTTATATCTAGAAAACCACAAAGATTCTTCCATGAGACTACTGGAATTGATAAACAAATTCAGCAAATTCTCAGGTTACAAAATCAATGTACAGAAATCAGAAGGATTCCCATAAGCCAACAATAGTCAAACTGATAACCAAATGAAAGACTCAATATCCTTCACAATAACAACAAAGAAAATAAAATGCCTAGGGATATCTTTAATAAAGGAGAGGAGACACATATATAGGGAAAACTACAAAACACCGAAGAATAAGACAGCAGAGGATGTAAACAGGTGGAAAACCATACCATGTTCATGGGTTGGCAGAAACAATATTGTTAAAACTTCTATACTAACCAAAGTGATATACAGATTCAATACAACCCCTATTAAAATACCAATACCATTTTTTTCAGACCTAGAAAAAATAATTCTATGCTTCATATGGAGCAGAGAAGACCCCCATATAGCAAAAGCAATATTAGGCAAGAAGAAAAAATTGGGAGACATCAATTTATCAGACTTCAAGCTACACTACAAGGCTATAGTAACTAAAACAGCATTTCATTAGCACAAGAACAGAGACATAGACCAATGGAACAAAACTGAGAACCCAGATATAAAATCATCCTCATATAGCCATTTAAT